ACGTAAGTTAAAGTAAACGTAAACGTTAAAACGTTTAAAAACGTTAAAAAACTTAAACGTAATACGACGTACGTTAGTATTTTTTTTTTTGAAAGTGCAGCTCTCTCACCCGTGCAAACCCCACATGATGATCCAACAATCCACACTGTGAAACCTCATAAACCCCAAATCTACTCTCTCTCTCTCTCTTCCCCTCTTTCTTTATCTCAGAAATCCCAAATCTTGTCTCTCTCTACCTCATAAACTCCAAATTTACTCTCTCTCTTTCTCTACCTTAAAAACCCCAAATCTACTCTCTTTACCTCATAAACCTCAAATTTACTCTTTCTCTCTCTCTAAACAACTGGTCGGGGCTTGATTTTCTCTCGATCCTCGCACCGATGTGAGGTGCGTACGGAGGAGAAATTCGTCTATCAAACAACTGTGGATGGTCCGCGCACGTCGCACGTTCGTGGGTGTGCGTATGCGAGCTCTCCTGAGTGTGGATAGGAAACAACAACGACAGAGATTTTACGGCGGGGATAGGTTTAGACACTTACCTCGGCGCTTGGGGTCCGGGGGTCCTTCTTAGAACAATAGCAAAGCCCTCCGATTGTCTACCAGCGCGGTTTGGACACGGAATCTCTTCAGACGCTCAAAAAGTTGCTTCTCTCTTTCTCTCTCTGTCTCTCTCTCTCTCTCTCTCTTCTCTCTCTCTCTCTCTCGTACTTGCAATTATGATGTGGATTCAATTGTCCCTCTCTGTGACGATCCTCTCTAGGAGGCTGACTTGCGAAAGGGTAGGGTGTGGAGGAAGGGCGGTGAAGATCTTCCTCTCTGCATGAACGCTGGTCGGTCTGGCAGTTGGGGTAACTGAAGAGTTGAATCCCCATTGGCTACTAGCTCAAGCTGACTCCTCTTGAGTGACTGAGGGAGAAAGCATTTGTGTCTCTTAGCTCAAATCAATTGTACGAGAGGAAGTTAGAGCGGTGGCCTGAGGATTAGAACTCTTGGGTTCGCTCCTAACCGCGCGTTTGTCGGGGATGGGGTTACTGTGCAGGACAGGTAACGATTGGAGAGGAAGAGTACGAGGGCTTGGGGTGTAACCCGGTTTAAGAAAGAGAGGGAATGGGACTGCACACTTAGGGGTATTTTCTCTCTCATCTCGACGGGATTAAGGGTTTAGAAGCAAAAGACAAGTAAAGACAAGCGTGATGCCTCTAATTGAGTGATGAATAATCCACCTTTTTACAATTGATCTAAGCTTGTTTATATAGAGAACTCACCAAACATGGGTGAATGCTAAAAACTAAGCTTAAATAGAATCAAAAGAATTTAGAACAAAATCCTAAAATTAGGTACAATGACCAAAATGCCCCTAAAACTTTTTGTGCTAATGACGAAACTAGCCCTCTCTAAGGGGTCTCTTTCCAAGGCCAGATCTTGGAAGCTTTTTCCGCAAACTTGCAGCTATGGTTCAAACGATTTTCCATTATGTCTTTGATATTCGTTCGATTTTGGACATTTTGGTGCCTTTTAATCGTGCTGAGGCAACCTTTTTTTGCGGGGTGGAGGTTCGGCCAAATTCGTGAACTTTGGTCGCTAATGCTATTCGATCTGTGATGCTACGAGTTTTTACTTTGCTTGTAAATGAAAGAGGAGACTATCACAGTCGTTTTGCACCAAGTTTGGTCTGTTTATGCTTTCATTTGCAGCATTTCCTAATTTGGGAGGTCACCGAAAAAAGGGATTCCAGTGACCGGGCAATTTTACTCCTCTGTAACCTTGGGAATTGTGTTAATCCGACCGTAGATTAAGTACAACAATTTTGCTAGTTTACAGCTCTTCGCGAGATGGTCGCATTGAACTCGTTTTCACGATGATCCTATGCATGCTCGAGTTGTGCTTCATAAGGTCTGAGATGTCTTCCTCTTGAAACCCTGATTTTTCTGATTTCGTGCTCATCTTTTTTTAGAAGAAGTTTGACTCTGGGTCTCACCATGGTGCATGCCCTAGGTCAAAATGACAGGGTCGCCGTGATCTAGAACATGTCCAAGTTTGAGCTTTTTCTGATTCTAGACAAACGTTCAGTGAGTCCTTGAAGTCCATCTGTAAGGACCGAGAGTTTCCATGCATGATGGAAGAAGGAGAGAAAGAAACTGCCGCGCTCAGCAGCATGAACACGCACGGCGGTAAGAAGAAGGACACGCGCGACAGTAAGGAGGAGGACACACAATGGTAAGAGGAAGACCGCTCGCAGAGGTAAGAAGAAGGACGCACGTGGCGGTAAGAGGATGAACACACGTGACGATAAGGGGAAGAACGAACGCGGCAGTAAGGAGAAGAAAAGAGAACGAAGACGCGCGTGGCAACGAGATGTGGGCAATACCGTAAGAAGAAGCAAAAAAAGTGTGCTGCTGTGTGTGATGCCGCTGTGTGCGACACTATCGAGCCTGTGCATGACCTTAGGTGCCACCTGCCAGCTGCATGCTGACATGCATGCCACTTGTCAAACTCCATGCCACTTGGCGAACCCAAGCTGCCACCTTCCACTTTTGAGATACTTAAGCTGTTCTCTCTCTTTCCCCTAAGCCAAGCTCATTTTCTCACTCCTGCAAAGCCAAACACTTAGAATTCAACCCCTTTGGAGCCCTTGATTGAGAAGCTTGAGAAGTGGACTGTGTGAGGGATTTTGTGGGCATTATTGCACACATGTAAGTGGACCAAACACCCTGCATGTCTTTAGTTATGCAAGCATGAAAATAAGCTTGAGGCTAAGCTTGTGTATACATGTGAATTGTGAAAAGAAATGGGGTTGCATGTATCCTGTTTTTTCAGGAAATTAGGCCTTCAATTGCATGATAAAATGAGCATTGAATTCTTCTTGTTGGCAAGGAAAATTTGTGAAATGGTGTTCCTATGCATCTAATGTAAGATGAAAAAGGTTTCATGTTGATAACTATCATAAACTAAAAGTATTTGATTGTTCTTTGAGACATGTCATGACTACACTGTGAATTTCCAAGGAAATTTCATGTTTTTGTAATGAACTTTTGACTAATCAAATGATATCCAAATGGTTCCAAATCACATCCATTAGAAGGGTACATGCATCTACTTTGATTTTGAGGTTTAAGCACAGTTGAAATTCTTTACAAAGTGGAAGCTATGTTTCAATTTGTGAGAGCATGTCACTGTTATCAGATTTCATAATTTCACTCTTGTGTTCTTGAGTTTTTGGCTGATCAAATAGGGACCAAATGCCTTTAAACCGTCCTTATTGGAAATATATGTGTTTCTACTCGAACTTTTATTTTGAAACTATCCCAAAATTCCCCATAATTTGGAGTTATGCTTATGTTGGTGTGATATGTCACAGTCATGAATTGCTGCAATTTATAGAAACTGTTACTCCTTTTGTGCTGAGATTTTAACTGATCAAATAAGGTTCAAATGCTTTCAATCCACTTTCATTTGAAATATGTGTGTGTTTACTAAAAAATTGGTTTGGAAACCATATCAAAATTTTGTATGGATTGGAAGTTACGCATCTGTTTATGGAAACATGTTACTGTAAAAAATTA